TGCCAAAAGGCTGAAGCATCCTATCCAACACAAACAGCTGGCAATCACAGACATCCCCCGAGTGATTTCAGGGCTCCGCAGTCATATCAAGAGTCAGGTATGCAGGTTTTTGCTCCAGTCAAACTCAACAGCAGGTCACTTCACTCATTAGATGTCCTCACTGGTTGCAAACTGATGCTTGTAGCTCTGGTTGGCACATGACTGGTGACTGATGCCCTACAAAGATCGGTGTGAGAAGAAGTAAGTTTTTAAATACAGCTGCGGATAGGCGGTGTGATGGCTCTCATGCTTTTTGAACGCTTCAGATGTGAGTTCATTTGTGTTCATAAAGTTTGAATGAAAGTGGACTTGATAGGAAACTTGGACCAGTAAGAACTGGTTTGTAATTGGTGCTACATTTTGCTCACTTGCAAAAAAAAAAGTTAAAGAGAAATTTGAAAGCTGCAGCAGATGGTGAATTTGGACAGTTGAAGTAGTGTGAATAAACTGCTTTATGGAGGCACACTGCAGTTACTACTTGAGGGCTGTACTATTTTAATGAAATTTTATAAAGTACCCAAAAGATCAAATTTGGCATTCAACAGACTTCAGCTGTTCAACTAATTTGGATGATACTGTACTCCAATTAAAGCCACTATCATAGACTCATCTCATTTTATTTGTTTCCAAATACAAACTATGTGGCACTGTCCAAGCTGCTTTGCAATTAGATACCACAAAGTAATGATCCTTGATCCTCATTTTGAAACTAATTAGAGGTTTGTATAATCTAGTCCTTACTAGCTCCAAAGATTCATGTTTTTAAAGATCTAATGGAAGTATTTCAATATTCATGTTTTCAGTTTATTGACACCCAAATTGCTTCATCCTCTAGCCTTCAAAGAAACTTTTTTTATTATAGTTTTTTGTTAATAAATGCTTCAATAAGAAAATACATGCAGGCAGATTTGGATGTGTGTGTGCCACACAAATATGAATCTATTCTCTGCTTTTTGGTATGCAGGCTACCTGCATATCCAAGCATATACCCATTTTTTATGTGTCAGTAGCTACATGACAAGAGGTCAGCCCCTCAAGATCAAATATTTTTCTTACTAAATGACGGATTTATTAGACAAATAAGTTGCTCGTCTGACTCTGAACCCTCTGTGATTGAAATATACCCCTGTGTCAACAGCATCGCCTCTCAAACCGGGTGCCGGGCGATGGAGGGCTGCCACAGCGGATTACTGAGCAAATATAAGTGGGAAATGAGTGCAGATCTGGGGGATCTACCCATCCACATCCCCGGTTTGACATTTCCGTCCAAAGGCCAACCTCCCTGCGCATTGTTAGATCAACGAAGCTCTCCATGGGAGCTATTTTTTCTTTCTTTTTTTTTTTGGTTTTAAGATACTGCAGAAGTACATCTATCAAAAACACGGACACAAGCCATTTCAACGCAGTGAATGTGCATTCTCCATTTCTTCTTACTTTATCTTGTAGTGTTGTAATTATAATGATCTAATCCATCTTAACCTGGGCGCCTAACAGCTGCGATTAGGGTATAGGCCCACTCCCCTCCGCTCACAGCCATGGTAAAAAGTCGCGCGCTCGTAAATCTAAGCGCCTACGTTACCATAACGTGCGATGAAATCATTATTTGGCGACGTGGTGTCAGAGACTCTCTCATCTCGTCTGTCAGGAATCCAATTTCCTTTTATTTACATCCACGGTATAGATTAATTACTCCCCCGACTAGTAGCCTGAAGGAATTAAGTTATGAGATCCTCTGGTAGGTTCCATGATTAATCCACCGCGGCCTATGCAATGATACGAAGGAGGGAAGGAAGGAAGTGAGGTGATAAATGCAGTTAAGACAGGATCGCAAACATTGTTACATAATAATAACAATAATAATTATTATAATAATAATTCCTATTAAAACATGGTGTTATAGCCTACCAAATGTTTATTGTTTTATGTGATCAATTTATAATTTAAGGTGGTTTTCGTTGCTGTGAGGCTCAGACGGGACATCCAAAGCATCATGGAATGGGACAAGAGGAGTTGGGGGGGGGGGGTCGCCTAAATGATCCAGACATATTTATAGGGGGAAGGCCCTTTCAGGCCCAGGTAAAAAACGATGTCTACAGGATCAGGCGGTGCTGCGCCACCACTATCGATAGAGCTTTACGGGTTATGATATCGGTGAAGTTACTGATGAAATATCCCCCTGATTAATAGAGGACTCTGTCGTAACGGGCTGACATATGGTAGGCGAGGCAGCTGGGGACGGTACCTCAGGCATCCCCTTCGGCCATTAACATATTAGAGGCTATTGAGCAGGCAGACAGTCCGACTTCATCCAGCGCCCCTGTGCAGAGAGACAGCGCCCCTGAGCTGTTTGATATAGGCTTTCAATAATGCATCACTCCTCAATCCGCCAACGGAGCTGTTCGTGGTGCTGAAATTATTGCCATGTGGCGCGTGTGGTGCCGCGCGTGGAGTGTGTTCAGTGCCAGCGGTGTTGTGTTTCTCTCGATAGGTTGTGTTGGATGGTGAAACTTTGAACTCATCAGATAAAAAATAACATAGATAGATAGATAGATAGATAGATAGAGAGATAGAGAGATAGAGAGATAGAGAGATAGATAGATGGACAAGGCTACACACACATGCACATAATAATACACCCACTATTCTGAATAATTGTTGCCTTTATCGTGTGAATTCGTCGAACACGTTGAAAAGTCTATTTTGATTTTTTTCGATTTAAAATCCTAAATACGACAATGAAGATTAAAAGTTTCTCTCCAAGACGTTTTCTCCAGATCAGCTTGTGCTGCGATAAAATAAAATCAAACATCTGGGAAAAAATATTCTGGAGTAACGAGTTTCTTTGTGGCTCCATTAAATCAATGTCCCGGCTTTTCCTTACTTTCCTAATAATCTTTATACATTGACAGTATTTCTTACAACCTTTAAAGAATAAAGCGAAGCGATTCAGTGCAAGGATCTGCAGCTACCTGACACTGGGGTCTGAAGATGCTATGCCTTTTAAATATGCTGAACACTGAAAAAAAATAACAGCTGTTACTGATGAAGAAAGTGACTAAAATCAAACTAAAAATATTTTACTCACATTAAAGAATGGCTCACTCTTCTGTCCATGTAGCCAAAAGCTAAAGAGAAGCAATAAGGAGCAGCTTTCTGTGCTGTTTAACAGCGGCTTCCTTCATCCGCCTGCTTCCCCTCAAACCCCCGATAGCTGTCTGAAAATATTGCATTTTATATCAGCAAATCCCGATTAATATTGCATCACCTGCATTTAAAAATTCATTTTCATAAATGCAGCGGAAAGTGAGCAAAGCCCACCAAAAAAATATATCTGGAAGTAAAGAGTGAATAGAAATATCTGGAAGGAAGGTGGAGGTCACAGTGTCCATTTTAAATAAACAAAACCACTTTTCTTCTTCTTTTCTTTAATTCCCCCCCCCCCTGGTGTCAAGGGGATCCACTTTAATGTTGCTGCTCAGTTATTCTGACTCTGTTGTGAAACTTCATTAAATGTTGATTGTTCTGCCTGTCTCAACACAGTAAAAGGCGGGAACTTTATCCTGTTCTCTTGTAATTAAGCCTGTTATATGTGCAAACATTCAAATGTAGGGGCAACTAAAACACAACAGATCAGTTACCTATTTTAATCACTAATTATAATTATAAACTATAGTTATCAGAGTAATTAACTTGTCAAGTGTAAAATAAGTTTTATTCTTATTGTTATTATTGTTGTTGTTATTATTATTATTAATAATATTATTATTATGTTTCTTTTTTTTTACATTAAAATAAAGAAATGTATTTAAATTTAAAGAACAAGAGGCAAAAATACTGACAATCCTTAACTGTAATATGGTTTGAATCTGCACCTTCATACTCCCAAATTAGGCAAATTTACTTCACCACAGATTAGACAAACTTTGAAGACATCCAAGTATTATTTCCAGTGATGAACGTCTTATCTCGATCTTGAAAATGCAAGAGAAAACGGTAGAAAAAATATATATGAAAAATACAGCACTTTTACATGATACAAAAAAAATCTAAAATTAAATAACGCCTCATTTTATATTGAGTTCTGGACACAATAAAACCATGACAGCAATATTTACATTCAACCCTTCATGATTATGTTGAGTGCCGGCCCAATCACAACCAGAAAAGCATACTTTTCTTTCTTCAATTTATTAGAAGATTGCTGGAACACACCTCCCTGTTGAATTTGGCTTACAGGATGAACAGTACCAATGAAAGTAAGAGGACAACAGAGGAGAGTGGAGAAGTGGTGAGAGAGGGAAGGAGACAGTGGGACATTTTCAATGATGCACATGTCGCCGCCAGGTTTTTGTAAACATACTTGTGCACAAAGTAAAATATTACTTACACAACGTTTCCGTTAACAATTAACACGACAAACAACGTGGTGATCTTAATGTGAAAACAGGCATTTAACAGTGACTTACACCATCCACAAAATAAGGTCTATCAGTAGACAGCTCTATACGCAGTGATTCTTTTTCCAATGCATAGAGTGTTTGCACTGCAAACTGAAACACATGACAGGAAATTTAGGGTTGTCTTTTTTTTTCCATTGTGATCTCTTCTTGATGAAGCAGACAAGGCTTTCGTGCTCTCTGACTCTGTTTTGAAACTTTTCCTTGTGATGCCAATAGTGTCGATAGAGCTTATAATTTATTTCCAAAAGACAGGAGCTCACCTCTGATAAGTGATAAAGTGAAGTCTGTATATACAAAACCATTTCGACATAACTGATCTATAAACCTAAAGGGTCTTTTGTGCAAATTCAAAATAAATATATCTATAGATGTGACAGCCTATAGAGGCTAAATTACTGCCCGTGAATTTGGATTTCATGCAGGCCTAAAAAAAAATTTTTTTTCGTTAGCCATAAAAGTTTGCAACTAAATTTGAGTTTATAGCAGCCTCCAACGAAGAATAAATGAACAGATGAATAAATGAACAGATTCATGAATTATTTCTATACCAACAACGACAAAAATCAAAACCAAAAACACAGTTCAACAATCAATGAGGTAATTCGTAAATGGCTATACTTCAAATAATAGGCCTATTAGGAGAAAATAACTCGCTATAGTATCAAGCAAATTACCTCTTTCCACATGTTTTAAAAGGCAATGTCGACGTCGCTAAACTTTTCCCTCGTAACAACTGAGCGAAATTTGTGTAATCTGTTATTTGCATACTTCACATTCACCGATAACGTGAAAATAAACAAGATATATGAAGCCTCGTAAAATGGGTATCTAAAGCCCATTGTGCACCAACGTGTAAAATCGCTGGAGACAAAAGACTGAAAATGGTGTCTTAGTGTCCTTGGTCCCCAAATTCAGTCACACAACTTTTTTTTTCTTTTCTTTTCTTTGCCCATCAGTGAGCTGCGGAAAATTTCAACCTCTTCTGCTTCTGTCTTTGGTTACAAAACCACACTCGCACCACATTTTTTTTCAGGTCCAACTTTTCAGCTATAGCTGCTATTTTCTCGGACGACGGTCGAGGTTGTACGGCGAAGTAAGCCTCCAAAGACCTCTTTTCTGGGGCTGCTATCGAGGTCCTCTTGCGTTTCTTTTCCCCCCCGTTGAAAATGTCAGGTTTGCTCATTTTCTCCCTCTGGGCCCCCTCGGCCTCCTCCAGCCAGGCCTGGAGAATAGGTTTGAGCGCAATCATGTTGTTGTGGGAGAGAGTTAACGACTCGAATCGACAAATTGTACTTTGGCTCAGTGATCCCACGCCGGGGATTTTGAGATTAGCCAGAGCGCCACCCACGTCCGCCTGGGTCACCCCCAGCTTGATCCTCCGCTGCTTGAAGCGCTCCGCGAAAGCCTCCAGCTCCCTTGGGTCTGTGTCCGAGTCATTGATTGAGGGGAGTCCGGCGTTAGTGAGCCCAGGGCCGCCTTGACTCCCCCCGTGATGGCCCGGTAAGAGCCCGTGGTGGGTGAGAGGCGAGTTCATGCTCATAGCCTGGTGGGAGAGGTGACTCAAGCCGTGCATGTGAGAGTGCGGGTGGCCAGAGGAGGTGGAGATGAGCCCTCCGCCGCCACCTCCACCGCCTCCGCCACCTCCTCCGCCGGCCCCGTCGTGCGCACTGGACATAAGGGTGAGGGACGGCGAGGTGATGTGGTCCATAATGTCCGGCGGCTCCAGGTTCTGGTGGTGGTGGTGGTGATGGTGGTGGTGGTGGTGGGCCAGTGGCACGGTGGATGTCGACGAGCACGGCACTGTGCTCATCGTGTGGTAGGTGGCGTCGGGCTTGAACGGATGCGTCTTGCCCTGGGACACGGCGATGTCCACGGCCGCCAAAGCCTCAGCCCGGGCCAGCAGGGTCTCATCCAGGCTCGCAAATATGTTACTCTGTAGCTGCAAGGGCGAAAATTAAAAAGGAGAGGGCGGGAGAATGAAGGGGTGCGAAATGGGTGAGAAAAGGGAAAAGACGTGGAGAAGAAAGGAAGACGGGAGAAAAAAAAGAAAAAAAAACATAAATAAATGTATCTGTCAGTCGGGACTTTTGGCAACACATAACACAGCCGGAGTATTCCTTCAGAAGCGGCAAGTCATAAAAATTAATACAAAAACAGTAAAGCCAGCCTTTGCGTGAGCATGCTTTCAAGAAGATCACAGACTCTTGGAGTGATTGCCGTGGAATACATGAAAAAAACATTAAGTGCGCGTCTTGGCTGAATGTGCCTTGGAGCAGCCCTTGTTATTACGCACAGACAGCTTTCAGCGCTACATGCAGCCTAAGCACGAAAAAGGATAAAGTCGAAGTTTTGGGGAGATAATTTACCTGTGGAGTTTGTAGACAGGCTCTCCTTATAGCTTCCGAGCTGGAATGCAGGGTGGTGTACTTGTGCTCGGGTAAAGAGGGATGCATGGCGAAGTGCGGTTGTTTGCTGTTCATGGACATCATCTTGGCGAGCTTCTCCAATTAAAGTGCACGGGAAAGAAGAGGGGGAAACGGCTACAAGAGCTGGAAAATAGTCATAGATACACAGTGATCCTTTGCCTATCCAGTAATGATGCAGTGCAGTTCGCTGTGTAGTGCGCCGAGTGCAGCCTTGAGCCCGGAGATCACAGAGATGCCTGCAGTCTCTCAGACGCACTTATCTGTCTACTGTTTCCCACTGCTGGGGATGAGAGAGGCTCTTACACCTGAGCGCCTCAGATCTCGTCAAGCCCCTGCTCGGCTGCTCTCGCGAGACATAAACTGCCAGAACAGTGAACAGGCTGACAAATAAAAACTGCTCACAGGGCAGGCTGTAACATCTGGAGACTAGACGCCTGCGTTTTTAAGGGCTCACTCCTCTCCATCCAGCCACAGAATTGCGCCGGTCCCGATGTCTTAAGGCCTTATTCTTGACTTTAAGGTCATAAATCATTGACTTAATTCTGTTTATTTTAGCAGCAATCCATGTTAGACTGGACTTTATCCCTCTGATTTCAGGAAATTATTTTCCAAGGGAATTATTAAGGAAAATGAGTCAAAAATATTAGTAAACATTCAATATTTATATCAATGTAAATGGAAACACAGAAAATCAACATAATGATGCATCAAGGTGGAAATAACTATTACATTTCTACATTTGACTCAATTAGTTGTTCACACCCGTGCAAAATATTTAAACGTGTCGGTTACACGGTTTGCCATTTGGCTCTGTTCTTGGCCCACTCTCTCATCTTAACCCTTGGAAGTAATGAGGCGGCCTCCTTATCATTAAAGACCATCATCGCCAGATGAGCACTAAACAAATTGATTTAATACACCAGCGTAACCCTGTACACAGTCTTTACCTAAATTAATTAATCCCAATGAATTAACACTTCATTTATTCAAACCACAACGGTTACGCAATTAAAATTTCATGCAGCGATTAGAGGTATGTGAAATATACATGATATCGTTAAATTTGCATAATAAATAAGGCGCTTTCTGCTGCAACGGAATGACTGTGCGTGAGGTCTCTAATGTGTGTCGCTATAGGCTACAACATGCTTTTGTCGGCATGAATAGGCTGTGCTTTTCGACTTTTAATGGCAGCTAATTAATAATTGTTAGTTTAATGTTATGCAAATCAGCAAGGAAAGTACCAGAAAAGGGAGTATTATGATAAAATAAAATAAAAACTATAAGCTTGTGTACTAAATATTTATCCCCATTTCCAATAAAAACCAAAATATGGAAAATTCACCACAAAATATTAGGCCAGTAAAAGTCCATGACTGATCATCTTAGGATTTTAGGGGATCTGAATCATGCAGATGGAAGAAAATACAGATAAAAAAAGCACAAAAGAAAATTGAGGTTCATACATTCTCATTGCATTACTACTTTATTTCCTGACACACTCTTACATTGTAATATTTTAATTCAAATATCATTGTTTTTCATGAGTCATGTTCATCTGTCTTCAGTACTGCATGCCTTCACAAAAAGATGACCATGTTTACTGAATAGCTTAAAATGACCAACACATACAAGTGGGCTGAAGATGTCTCAGCATCAAAAGTGATGCACTACAATATAACAAAGTATAACAGCACACAGGTGTTTGTACCATTACAACACAGACACATTTTCACACTGTCAACACTGGCTTTTAAAGCTATTTAACTGCCGCTGTGACCTACAAGTAGAGTACACTAAGACAAAATGACAATAAGTTACACCCAAGCATCATGTTCACAAATTTATTTTGAAGCAAAATGAAGTTGATGTTTCCAGCCATGTGTGGTTGTGAAGCCTAAACAAAACTCACTACAGTGTATGGCACAGCGAGAACACACAGGTTTGGTTTGTAAAGGCTTTACATGAGCTTTGAAAGTTTTGTGGGACTGCTTGTGTTAAAGGGACTGTGAGACTTTCTCTTTGTTGGCTGGCTGATGTTGAGTGTTTGTCTGTCTTTTGGTGTGTTCACAGGTTTTCCTGTGCAGCTGGAGGATGAAGATGATGATGATGAGGAGGAGGAGGAGGGGTCTGCGTGATCATGGTCCTTGCCTGCTGGACTGAGAGAGCCAGAGGGACCGGCCTTATTCTCCTCCAGCATATCAAACAGCAAATCAAAAGACAGTTCTTCAGTCTGAGAGGGCCCTTCACCCCCTGAAGAGCCAGAGACATCGGCAACCCCCTCCTTACCCGACGCCAGTGCAGCAAAACCTTCATCTTCAGAGCCTTTTGGAGACGCTTTCTCATTCAAGGTGCAATCCGTGTCGTCACGTGGTGGGTGGTTCTTCTGGTCATGTTCTATCACAGGTTTGCCTCCATGGCTTGACAAGACATCAGGGCAGGTTTGTGGTTCTGGGACGAGAGTGTTGTTCAAGTCTGTGGAAAGGGAGGAGGCCAGGGAGAGCTGTGATCCCCGGCTACTGGAGCTTTCTCCATCCAGCATCATGGAGTCCAACTCTGAGATTTTGTCCAGGTAAGCTGCATCCATGGAGGCCTCGCTGGACATTAGGAAACTATCAGACTCATCATCCTCAAGATTACTGGACGTGGATGCTTTAACCGAGCTTTCTTTTCTTGGATCTGGACATGGCTGGTCATTAGAGTTGGAACTCTGCCAACCACCCCAGAAGACAGACTTTGACGGTTCCATGTCAGTATTGGGAGGCAAGCCTTTGGGGAGTTTGTCAAGGCTGCTGAGCTGTTTGTCCATACTGCTGTTATTAGGAAAATCTTCAAAATCGAGCCTCCTCAGATAGGACCCAGCTTTAAATGCAACCTTCTTTTCACGGATGCCAGGGCTCCTCAGAGTCAGGGAACGGAAAGCAGATGACGGAGTTGTGGGCAAAAGGTCAGAGGAGGTGCTTTCCAAGTCCTTGTATTTCTGATCTGAGGTCAGATTCTTATTAAACTCTTTGTGATCTGCAGATGGCATGAAAATCAAACTGTGATTTCTGGAAAACGTTCCACATTCTGCCTCTGGATTGCTGCAGATCGACTCCCTCTCATTGTCACTCAAGCTTCTCATCATCATGTTGATTTTCTGTTGCTGTGTGAGAGGTTCTGACCCAGCCTTGCTACTCTCACATGCTTCCTGCACGTCCAGACGTCTCTTCTCAGACTTGCTGACCTGAGACTCCAGGTCTTCAATGTACTGGTCACTGCGCTCCAGAGCCCTCTTCAGGTGGTCCACATCACGCTCATACTGCTGGATTTTGGCTTCCAGTGCTGCCACAGTATAACGACCAAACCTGGGGGAGATATCGTTTGTGTCTTTAGGTCTTTTGGTCAAGGATCATCATTTCAGAAAAGCTAAACAACATTTAGCTATTGGACAATTTTTTTTGTTGTTTTTTTTTTGTTATGCACTTGACCAAGCAAATGTACATGCTGCAAGATAGCTCATTTGAAAAGAAAGTTAAAAAAAAGATATAAATAAAAACTGTCTTAACTTTGTCTTTTGGAATATCGGTTTAGAAAATGGTCTTTAACTGCTGTTCATTTGACAGAAAAAGGGAAACCTAATCATACAGAAGTTACTAACTTAAGCAACAAATCCCTGCCTCCAGCCTCGGCCATTTTCACTGGAAAAAACACTCAACTGAAACGAAGTTACATTACAGTTCATTTTGTAGGTACAGTTCCCAGTGACAGTGACTTAGACGCATGTGCCAAATACTTCTACATTTGTTTCTGACTTAATGTGAATCAATGACAGGATCAAAAGCTTTCAAGCGTCATTAACACAAGAAAGAAACTTACTTCTGAGGAGATCTGCTTGCCACCTCTGCTTTCAGCCTCATATTCTCTTGTACAAGGTCGACATTTTGAGATCGCAACGCCTTATTTGCCTGTGGATGGTAAAGTAACATTTTGCTTTGTATGTTGTTTCTTTTACCAAAGACTTACACCAGCTACACACGGTGCTTTGTGTGACCTATGCATTTGAGGTGGACTCACAAAAAGGCACATCTCTCTTTAGAGGATCTATGTAATTAATACACAATGCAACTAACTCATTATTAGAGGTTACATACCTCCTTTAGCTTATCCATGTCCTGCTTTATTTTATCACAAACATCTGTGGCAGTTCGTAGCTTGTTCATCCATTCTTCCAGGACATAGGGGTCAACACTTTTGTCACCTGTTTGCACTGCATTAATGCTGCAGGGATCCAAAGCAGTCTTCAGTTGTGCCTCCAGACTTAGATTTTTTGTTTTCAGCTCTTCATTTTCTCTAAAGAGCCCTTCAATTTCTTCCTGATAGAGGGAAATTATGTGAAATCGAAAACATCAACCACAATAATATGTCATCATAATACTTATAGGCTGATCACAGAGTTGAAAAGTTAAAGCAGAGATTTTTTAAAACATTGTTTTTTTCCCCATTTTGGCAACCTGAAAGCTGGACACTATTGTTGCAATCTGCAATAGTAGTTACCTACTTTTACAGAATCTGTCACATTATGCTGAAGCTTAAGTAAAATATTAGTTCACACTTTATAAGTCTGCTCCAATCAGGAGTAACAAACCGCTCCACCTGATATTCTGAGCCCATCACTAAAGAAAATCTGTATCAGTGGATTATAGCTGCGATTCAAACTCCATTCAACTGCCTCAACCTGATAGCCTGTGCTTCTGTTTTTGTGGTGATAAACCCTCTTAAAAGCCTATGCAACAGCCTCAGCCTGCTTGTTACTGTTGTGAATACATTAAAGCATATTAACCAATTAAAAAACACGGCATGATAAACTGACACCTCATATTCGCGTAAAAGCAGTTCTCCTCTGGTTTTTCTGAGACATTTCCTCATGGAAGGGCTTTCACCGTGATCGTTCTCATTGGTCCCTCCTGTAACAGAAATACACGAGTACAGAATGAAACAGACAAACATGCTCCGCAACAAAAGTACCAAGTAAAGTCACTCAGCTGCTACTCAAAACATGTAAAATATCAGCATAGCTTTGAAAATGTGGGGTGCTGAACTTTAAAATGTAGACAAATCCTAACTGAGATGCTCAATACCACCTGCAGAAACTGTGTTAGATTTGATGTGAAAACATAAGACTTAAAGCCCTGTCCCTGTAGCCTTCCCTTCAGTAATACTCTAACCTTTTGGGAAATATGCTTGTCAGTGGTCTTAGCCACAGCTACATGAGTGGACTTCAAATCAAATTTCTCTCTTCAGCACAGAAACTGGCCCTAGACATGTTTCACGTTGTGTTCACAAACTGTGATCACATCACATCACTGCATAAATGCAAAACTCCTTCTGTCTTTGGCATTTCTAATTACACATTTCTCCATGTCCCAATGGTGAACAGAAAGGTTGATTACAACAAATGAAAAAAACTAAAAATTAAATTAAAATGAATCGAGCAATTATTTTGATAAGCAAATAATAGTTTGTTTGTTTTTCATCAAAATTGCTAAAACATTTTGCTGATTCCAGCCTCTCAGATGTGAGGATTCTTTGTTGTTCAAGGTAGTAAACTGAATAGTTTGGGGATTTACACTGTTTTTCAGACAAAACAAACAACTAAGGACGGGCTGTTTGACATTATAACATTTTGGCTATTTTCTGAAATTTTATGGACTGATAATTGTTTTTGTTTTTTTTTGTTTTTTAAATCAGATTAATTCATAATGGAAATAATCATTAGTTGCAGCCCTAGTTTGGTGGATCAAGTAATACAATTTATCTGGCATAAGATAAGTTTCTCTCAAGTTTACTACACTGCAATGATCGGTCCACATTTTTCCTTGAAGCATGTGGGAAGCATGCTCCAAACCACTGTCAAATGGGTGAACACCCAACATTCATAATTCATTAATTTGTAATTATTTTTGATTTTCACTTAAAACAACCGGACCCAAGTCAAGAAAGAGAGAGATTATCTAGAAAACACAATAGATGTCAACACAGGCCAAGTTGTGTTTAGATGAAAATGTTCAACCCTAAGTAAATTTCATTTTAATGACAGCCCTGAGAAATCAATACACTGCAACTTAAGAAAACACTGTATGCAAAGAGACAGAACACAAGCAAATGAAGAAAACATCAACAGGGTGACAGGACATGCACTGCATTTAGAAAAAAACACTGCAAATAGAGAAAACAAACACAGAAACACAAAGTAAAAACAGAAGACAACAAAATGTGAAATATTTCACATTTGTGCTGTTGGCAGTAACTTTGTGCTGATTACTAGTTTACCACAAATATCAAATAATTATACATAATATCTGAATCATGCAATCAGTGTTTAAACTAAGAAAAAAAACAATCAGTGTATCTCTATTAAGTGAATTGGCAGAATTCATAGAATAGAACAGAACACGACTTGCTGTTTTTGTATTTGGTTGTGTTTTTTTGAATTTGGTTGTTATCCGTATTTGAAGCCTTTTTTTCTAAATGCAGTGTATGTCTTGTTACATTGATGAATAAGCTTTGTTTGCTTGTGTTTTATGTCTTTGCATGTGTCTTTTTAAGTTGCAGTGCATTGAGCTCTCAGGGCCACCATAAAACAGTGTTATGGGTAATACAAACACTACAACTGCTTAAACTTGACTGCAACTTCAACAACATGATTTATTTCACTAACATGATGACTCAGCTGTGAAGTGCTGCAGGCGGATGAAGCCTCACATCACCTCTCCTCTCTTGCTTTGAGTCTTTTTCGCGCTGTTTGTATGGAGTTACTCACCGATGATTTTTCTGCAGGGGTTCTCTGCTGTGATTGGGACTCTGCAGGTTGGACATTGGCTAGCTTTCTTTAACCACATTTCCATGCAGCATGAACAGAACACGTGGTGGTTGGCACAAATGACCGGCTGCCTGACCTGTTCACACAGAAACATGCAGATCGTTTTGTTAACTTCAGTAATAAAGTATGTTACGGCCTGGTAACACAATTTGTGTTAGTAAGAGTCGCGAACGTCAGCTGCAGAAACTTAACGGTTACTAGGCAGCAGTCTATCCTGTGTAAACATAATCTTTGTTCAACGGCTGACGGACGTTAACGATTTTTAAACAGAACACTTACCTTTCCGAGACATATCTGACACGAAATCGGCAAAGTCATTGAAAGGGTCGACGTCTGATAGTTAAGAGCCATGGTTTGAAGGACTACGCCGGAATACAAAGCACACGCAACACACTGCCTCCGAAGAAGTACAAATCTCCCACCACACTCCCGCTACGCTGCGCGCCGAGTCTGTAGAACTACGGAAAGCCCAAAAGGCCTAAAAGGCTGTACACTGTGTTGCCAGATTCGGCGGAGAGCCACTCAAGCCGCCCCAAAACCGATTTGTTTTTTCCGGTTGTTAGATTTCGGGCTACTTACTGCTGTAGCCTACTTTTTGAATAGGGACATGTGCATGCAGTTGTTGTAACAGTTGCAGCAGCAGCAGTGGCAGAGACATACCGGTACACCCGTGAGTGTACTCCAAATAGGAATGACATTTGATTTGTCTTATTAACTTTCCAGAATGTAAGGAACTATAGGCTAAAAGATGGGGAAGGTTATAGGCTAGCTAATTTTTTGTCATTCAAATCTGGCAACACGAACTAGTCTTGGGGGAACGTTCAAAACAGCAGTTAGGGGTAAGAGCTTGCTAAGCCATGGTAGTTATCTTTACTGTTCACCATGAAAAAAGTTAAGAAATTACTAATACTAATACTACTAGTAACTGTGTGATTGATAGTGGAATTAAAATGTACTGCCTTCTAAGGAGCTTTTCATCTCTTGCAGTTATATATGTTCGGTCCACATTTTCCCTTTTACCCTGTTTTGGTCTCCACCAGCTCCTGAGAAAAAACATCTGCCTCATCTACCTGTTAACCATAAAACAGGTTTATTAAAGCTGCAGCTGGAAGCTGTGTTGATTAGAGTAGTACCATGTTGCAACAGTGAGCTAGAAGTTGTGTTGTTCATCACGATGAACATCACCCATTGACTATTTGATTTAGGGCCTATTGTTATCTTAAAAATATTGATTAGTGGAGCAGCAAATACAGAGAGAGCTAAGTTCAGCAGTTAGTTCAGAAATGAAGAAAACTATTGACTAACTTTATAAGTATGATTTACATGATTGTAAATGTGATTAAAAAAACAAAAAAAACGACAACAACCTAAAATTAGTCCGCCTATCACTTTTTTCCCATAACAATAGAGAGCTGTTGCATGAAATCAGCCTGATGTCTACAGTCTGTATAAAACATATAGATAAATAATAGATAAAAGGTGGGGACTTGGAACTTGATCTATTGTGGGTTATAGTTTGCAATTTGTCACTTTCAGTGAATACTAACCTGCTGCTGGTTCTTTTTAACCCAATCAATTAGTAACTTCCTGAAAGGCGGACTTGATTGATGTGCTGTCTAAACATTCCTGCATGAAATTTAAAAGTCTTTTGTGTGTTTTCAGAAGTTTTCAACTAATGCTTCATGTTCATGTTTCAATACTTTCATATGCAACAAAAATTTTATTTGCAACAGTGAGTAAGCTGTTTTGTGGGCCAAGTCTAGACCATATGACACGATCTGATCACGATCTGATCAAGATCTGATCAAGATCCTTGATATAACCTTGACTAACCACAAGCACATCAAAGATGAACAATTCAAATTTTCACTCACAATTCACAGATTTCATCTCAGTGAACATTAAATTTGGGAACATTATACTGAAAGCTGTACATTCCTATTATATGCAATTTTTCAACACACAAATAATCAACAACAACAAAACTCAGCTCATTGTGTTTGATGGGCAGGAAACCGGTAGTCCTATTCCCCATAAAAATCTATAAAGATATCAGTCATCCACAGGTATTTAAATTGGGGTGTGATTTGCATGCCACAGATTAAAATGGAAAATACGTGTTGAAGGTGAAACCCGAAAAGATAGTCCTAAAAGAAATGGGGTAAAAATTAATAAATAAATATTATACTTGCAGATATATAGCAGCATACAGATGCTTTCTATTTGGGTTAAAATTAGCTTGTAAACAAATATAGTTGTTCTTCGAGTAAACTCCATACTATTTACACAGTGAAGTTCTGCTAAAACTTAAAGTAGACAGGGACTTACTGAGTAGGTCACACTAAGAACACTAGGTCGGTATAGGTCAGTGTGCCTGCAATAACAACTTTTTGTTTGTTTGTTTTCTCAAAATGATAAATCACAGCAAAACCTAAGGACCATATTTTTTATTTTCTATAACAAATAGGAAAAACGTATGCATCAAATCAAAACATAGCAACATAAAATGACATCTCCTTTCTTAAATGACACAACAGCATATTCATTCAATTAAAACCTGCCCATAATGAAGGATGCTGTGCAACATTTTGCAAGCCCTCCTCTCAGATTAACAATGTAATTTATAAATAATGATACTGAGTGATCTAATATCAGCATAATCTCCACTACATGTATTTCAAAGTACATCTCCACCACAGTTTAGCCCTCCAGAGCCATTACTCATATCTAAACCAACATGTCCTTTTCTTCATCGTGTATCAAACCAGGACATCTTCTCAGGCTGTAATATGATTAGAATTGACTGACTGCAAAATAAGCTTGTACACTGATCCCAGTTTAAAAACACAACCAGTGCTTGTTTGGTTGTTTTCAACGCAATATTAAATGGATCACAGGCCACCACTTGTTCTCACTCATTTTTCAAAGCACCATTGATTTTATGAAAACATCTGGAGTAAATGTACATGATTAATATGTTTAAGTTAAATGAGTCAGAGAGTTAAATGTAGTATCAATTAACATGACATTATTTTTATTACCACTGTGTAATGAAAATGTATTCAAATGTATACAGACTAGATATAGAAACAAGGAAATTTTTTAAATATTTTTAGTAACCATTTCTGATTGGAAAAAAAAATATGTGGATGTTTTTACAGTGCAAGCTTTCATTCAAGCCCAAATTTATCTCAATGTCAAAAATGACTTCAATGAACACCTGGCATAGATACTTTACAGTGTGCCACAGCAAATCTTCAAATTGTAGCTAAAGTGGTTCAAGAATTTGTTACTGGGAAACTTGTCCTACAATAACCAATAACAGACTGAAATGAAAGAAATATTCGTTTTCGACAAGTCCCATTGTCCCTCAAAGATTGCATTGCTTTGCAACAGGCCAGTCATTAATTGGTGACAGTCGATTAATCACAGCTGGTACAGACGGCTGCAACTATTGATCTTGTCCCAGCACTTATTTTTCATCCCTAAATGACACCGATAGCCAGATTTGACCAGCATGTGTAATGGACAGTGAAGAACCAATGACCCGAGTGTCAGTCTTGTCACTGGTCAGGATCTGGATCCCCTCCCCCACCCCGGGCAAATAGCATCTTTACCATTTAGCTTGGAAAGGTTTAGACTGCCCTAAGAGCACAGCAGCGAAACAGTGCGCTCTGGTGCTCAGATGACCTTTTCTGTTTAAGGCTTAATCTCTGACAAATGCTTGCTTTAATTAGCCTGATACCCCCTGCCCGGGCTGCCACCCCACCCAGCTCCGCTCTCCCAGCTCTGTCTCCATCTCCATATCTCTACTTTCCTCTGTCTTTCCCAGTGTGCCTTTTGGAGATTCTCAAACACGCAGCAATTTGGTCGATGATCCAGTTAGTCAGTCGAAAAATATTTTGATAATCGATTAATCACTTCAGTCACACAATTTTTAAGCTAAAAATGACAAACGTGATGGTTCCAGCTTCTCCAGTGTGAGGAGTTACCCCTTCTTCCAGTCTGATGTTGTGGGTTTTGGACTGTTGGTCAAAGACAAAAAAAATTATGTGCAGACCTCACCTTGTAAATTATTAATTTTTTACTGTTTTCTGATGTTTTACAGACCAAATAACTAATCAATTAATAAAAAAAATAATCAGCAGATCAATCGATAATGAAAATAATCGTTAGTTGCATACATAGGAATGAAATGATGTGGGAAATCTCTTTGAATTATTGCTCTTCTATAAGGAAAAGATAAGGCAAGTGAAACTTTCAGAATATGTAAAAACATTTTTTAAAAAGTAAAATAACCTTTCGGGATAATGCTTCACAAGTTCCAAATGTTATATTGTTGGAATTGCAGTACTTAAAAAGTCAACACCAATCTAGTTTGAAATACAGTACAAATTAATTAAACCCCATCATTCCTGTGATAATGCTACAAATAATGAATATCCAACAGTATCTGAAAGTGTGGCAAAAACAGAACAAAGCACAGAGAAAGAGGTGATGTTGGGGTATGTACAAGTAAAAAGATTAGCCAGTGCACATTAGGAGGTTTAAGATAACATGTAACAGCGACCTGCAGGCCTCATCTATTGATTAGCCGCTATCAGAGACGGTGTAGCATGTGTGTGTGAGTTCAAGAGAATGGCAGAATGATTGTGCACGAACTAGAAAGTACCCTCAAGTAAATTTATTTTTTATCATAACAGTTTTAATGGAGAAATGAGGTAACATTCGGAACAAATAAACGTAATTGAATATATAAATGTAAATTCCATGAGATGCTGATCAATAAAAAATATTTCTTCAGAAGTTTGAGCGTGAAATTGAACAAATGTTGCTGACCACTTTCCAACGCTGCTTGAAATTAAATCCTCTCTAAGCCCCAGCTTCACCCAGAGACTGCAGCAGACCAATGCATCCCTCCCACTGCAGTAGCAAACACAAGTAAAATAGATGCATGGCTACAAATCCCTGTTTTATTGGAAAGGGGCCTAATTATTAGGATGTAAGTCAGGCTCTGACTGGAGGGCCGTCTCCTTGATGCGGGCCTGGTTTATATTTATCCCCTCCTCTGCAGCTACAGCAGCAGTGCCACCATCACTACCAGCAGTGTGTGGCGCTTTTATTACATCGCCCACAGGCAGGTTCAGCCCTGTCACAGTCACACACACAGTCACGCACGCACACACACACACACACAGCCTGCAGGACCGGCAGCTAGTTGAGTCCCCTCCGCAGCAGAGTTACCCCACATCCCCATGCAGCCCCACATGGGCCCTTGGGACGGTGGAGGGAGGGAGGGGGTATTATGGTAATACTATAGCCTGCTGCTCCCTTCCCCTCTCCTGCAGCACAGCTGGGAAGGACCATCATTACAAGTATTGTAGCAATCTG